TTAAAGAGTTTCCTAATGTGTTCCTTGATCTAAGCAGTAGTTAGTTATTAAGGCAAATGACTGTTTCATACGTGCTGCGGTCGTAATATATCGGTTATTTCGTCGCATATCCTGTAAGTTCATTTTTTTACCGATCTATTAATGTTTATTTTTACAGATGAGGAGGAGGCGGCTACCGATAAATCTGCGGCTAATTCTTGTGGTTTGATGTCAGACGGCATAGACTCCTTGAAGGCTACGAGACATTTGAAGGTCCAAGTACAAATATGGAAAAATGGTCTCCTCTATAAATTCTCGGTAAGTGTGTGAGGACTTTAATTTCCAGGTAATCTGCGGGGAATTGGGTAAATAATAAAAAAAGCTATGAATGAGGCATGAATGCTCATTTAGCTTTGGCCTTTTAATAGATGCAATACCACCAGAAGTTAGCCAGATGAGAATCTGGTTGCTTAAGTCTATTATTTGACAGTTCCCCAATTTTGTGATCTGTAATACTCGCAAAAGTAAATGTAATTTGAATAGGTTTCGCTCAACGGCCGACGACTTATGCAAATTTTTCTAGCAAATGGACTTCACTTCAGGTTCTCAGATAGTCGGTTGACTATTCGCAGCACGGCGGTCGATTAATAGTTTTGTAGGAATGCCATTTATACATCACTACGTCAGAAGATAACATATTGGAACACTGGTTTTACGGTTTAGATACTAGCCTTGACACGACAGCAGCTGCTTCTTCTGTTAGTCTAGAGAGGGATCGTGGTCTACCGTCTTCAATATCTCATTTACCAGGGAACACCTGACAGGGATTTGAGTATATCAGCGCTTTTTGATGCGGCAATTAGTTACCTCTGTTTTTTATTCAACCATTCTCAACTGACTTAAAGTTAAACTACACAGAAAGCAGCTTAACGAAAATCCTCTGTTTGCTCAATGGCAATGTTATAATACACTAAACAGAATTTGTACTTCGGTCCTTCAGGAACCAGTCGAAAGCCACTATCTCAATAGTATCAGATAGTTGAGGGCTCAGGATGGATTCAACATTGACACTTAACACAATGGAAC